CCCCCCCCATTTCAGAAACATTGTGATCGGCAGAAATCTAACCTACGGATACGCTTCAGGCCTTCTCTTTTCCAGCATGTTGGCCTCCACTCCTCTCTAGCAGGGAAGATCCAGAAACTCACAGTTAGTAGCTAAAGTTTTCCTTCCTTTCCAGAACAGGCTGATTAAATGAAAAACTTTGTAGCCTTTGAGAAAACAGGCATTTTCTTGTTGTCTGGCATTTTCAAGCATGTTGTATGTTACTCCAGTTGGAATGAAATCTGATTTAAACTGGTTACTATCAAGTGTAAGAAGTGCTAATCTCAGCTTATTTTTGTGGATTTTTGCTAGGGGATATTTTTTCTAATTTTTTTTACTTTCATGGCATGTTCATCTTCATCTTATTAATCAGTACAAGATCTGATAGACCCAAAAATGAGTAATGCATTCATTTTCCATTTGATGCAAGTGTTTGTTTTAAGTGTAACCACTTGGGAAAAGAACATAATAAAACAGGTTGTCTGACCAGCATGATGTTTGTCTTTCTTTCAATTAGGATAAAGACTTCCTGAAACCGTTACTGCATAAAATCCACGTGAATCCACCTGCAGAGGTTTCGACATCTTTAAAAGTCTACCAAGGGCATACGCTAGAAAAAACCTACGTAGGGGAAGATTTTTTCTGGGCTGTCACACCAGTTGCTGGGGATTATATTCTATTTAAATTTGACAAGCCAGTCAATGTAGAAAGGTTAGTAATTATTTGCCTTTGGTCTCATATCTAAAGCTGCTTGTTTGCCAAGAATGCTTGAAGATAGAATTTGGGGCTATCATAAACTAAAGTGAAATGATGTAGGGTCTTTGGAGTTCAGCTGAAACTCATCATTAGTGTCTTCCCTCTAATTCTTTTACTACTGTAAATTTTGTCTTGCTCTTTTTTTTTTTTTTTAATTTAATCCAGAGCCTTTTTGATAAGTGAAATTCAAAACCAGTGCTTCTCTGGCAGTTCATAAGAGAATTTAAAAGAAACCAATTTGATTCTATTTGTATTTGGTTGGTCTGCTTCTAATTACAGAGCAATTGTACAGCATGGTGTGTGGTACAGTATGTTGTGCCCTGCAGCCTCGGTCCCTTGATTGTCCAGATCAGAAATCTTGCTGGAGACATCACGATGTCCCCAGACCTGAAAGCTGGGAACTCTGCAGGATAATGTTTTTTAGATGTAGCTTTAGGGCTTGAAAAAGTCACCATGCTAAGACTCCAAGTTGACCTATTTAAAAAAATTAAAATTTAAGAGAAAAAAAAAAAGGGGGTTTGTTAGAGGACTAAAGGTGACTTCTTTTTAGTTACTAGTCAGATTAATTAAGGATAATAGAGTTTGTGCTTTAGAGTGTAGTCATCCTTTAGTTTTATTGAGACTGATTTGCTGCTTTGCTTTTTACTGTCTTGCCAACATAGTAGTCCAAGACTTGTAAAATAAATTGTTTATTTAGTGTCTGTTTAAGTGTTGCTATGTTAGTGGATTCCTTCTGTCCTTTCTTCGCATACCTTATGTGTTCTTTTGAGGCCAGTAACTATAGTCTGGTAGAGCAAAATTTCTTTGGATCAGTTTGACTGGATGCTTTTCTTGTGAAGCAGCCCTTTTTGCAGTCCTGAACTGAATCTAATTAGTCAACTTCTGTGCCTTAGTACATAATCAAAGGCTAAGTCTTCACCTTGGCTTAAGCACAACGGTGAGGATCAGTAGTTTCCTTGTTACTATGTTGTTCCAAACTAGTCTGACCTATGAAACTCAAGTTTGTCGTTTGAGATGTCAAATTACTCTCTCAGTTGATGGCTATGCTTTAAAAGACTTTCTTGGTTAGCTTTCCAAGATGCATGTGTTGAGGAATATGACTGCCATACATCCTTGGATTAAAGGCAGAATCTTTTCTTATCCTGTGCCAATAGTTTAAAAAATACATATTTTTCAACTCAGATGTATGAATTAATTGATTTCTTTTTGATCAAATTTTCCTTTTCAAAGTTATTAAGTAAATGTTGTCCAATTTATGTGGTTTTGGTTTTTTTAAAAGAATTATATGCTTCTACATTATGAATAGGGTAACTGTAAGCAGCAGATGTTGATCTTGGGTGGATTAGGGTGAGTCAAATGCAGAACGGCAATTTTGGAAAGCATTGCTAGCAAGTGTCATAGGTCAGCACTGTTATTTAAAAAATGGCATGCACAGGTCTGAAGAAAATATTTTTTGACATGCATTACCTCAATGGTAAGGGAATTGGGGGAGCGAGTAAGTACTAATTATCTGTGCAAAAGGTGGGAAGATAGTGTTCATTATTGTGCCCTGGAAAATTGTAGCTCGGCCTAAGGTAGTTACGTCTACCTGCTGTGTTAAGAACAGTCCGAGCAGTAGAGGATGCTATGATTTTGTTGTTGTTGTTATTTCTGTTTATTGAAGAAATGCATTTTAGTTTTAGAAGAAAGGGAACATCTTGTATTCTGTTGCTTCCTCAAAGGAAGTCCACCCATTAGAATGAAGCTACCTGTTCAGACTTAAGTTTAACATTGTTGGAGCTATCATTGTAAGCCATTTCAAAGTTTATTATATTTTAGTTTCTATTGCTACAGTGGCCTCAGAAATGCAGTATTTTGCCTTTCTGAAGTCAGTGGCTGATTGGGGCTACAGATGTTGTAATTTCAAATCGTTGGGGACTTGTTTTTTTGTCTGCTGAACTTCAGCAGCAGCAGATTTTGGTAGGTGAAGGTCAGGTGGAGCAATGATGTTTCCTGATATTTCAAGGATGCTTGCTGAGGCAGTCAAAAATAAAAGTGTGACTTGCGGGTTGAAACACAGAAAAGGGAAAACGGACCGAACATTGGGAAGACTTACCTGGTGGGGAGTTATATCTGATTGTGGGAATTAAGAGTAGAAAGTACGCTTTTGAAAGCCATCTTGTGTTTGTGAAGGGATGCAACAGGTTTTCCCTTTTTCAGTTTTTTTTTTTTTTTTTAAGTAATAGAAAAGCTCTTTGAATTTAGAGAATTTTGTCTGCCAAGTCAGTTTGAGGTGTAGCTGCTCAATAACTCCCATAATAAATTCTTGATAAACAAGTTTTTTAATGGAAATATTCACCACAACTCTGACTGAATGAATGGCAGGTCTGTTACACTGTGACAGAGCGCTAACTTGTTCCTATAGTTTATTTTTCCATGCCAAACGTTTTGCTGAACTGAATTTAAATTTTCTGCTGAGTATAGCAGTTCAGTAATTAGCTTTCATTAAATCTTTAAATATTTCATTTTTGAGATCTGAGAATATTGTCAGAGACAACACTGGCAAGGATCTCTTAATAGTTTAAAGTGAGAACTGAGCTGACTTTGCTGAGCAGAAGGTAGTATTTGTGGCTATTTTGTGCAAGACCTGGTTGGCAGATGCCTGCTGAATATTGAACAGTCAAATAGATGGTGCTTATTCTAAACCACGCCTGGAGAACAGGGATGTGTAAATTGAAATTGGCTAATGTTCATTTTAGTAACAGCTCTTGTACTGAACCTTTTTAGTTTTTTTCCAAGCAAAAGATCTCCAGCCACAACACTGAAGTCCCTTAATTGTAAGCTAGGATCTCATTCTTATTTTTGCAATAAGATAACATACGTCTCTTTCAGTAGCATATCCTTGAGCATGAAAGTATATCCACTGACTTTCCTCTTAAAAACAAATTGGACAGCAGTGTTGAAGATGTGGTTTGGTGTTGGTTTGTTGTTTTTTTTCTGAAATAAATGGATGGACTGTTTTCTAAACGCTCAAACAGCCTACATTGTAAAGATAAGAAATACTGAATTTCTGTTCCCTTAGGTTGTTATATAATTACTGAAATCCACTTCACTATTTTGGTATGTACACTGGTTCCAAGCACACATTTGATTATTAAAACTGACAGTTATATTTAAGTTTATTTATGAAGCATACATTATTACTACTTTAATGCTAGTACTGAATGTAAATTCATTTTCCTCACTATAAATAACAGATTCAAGACACTACTTTTCTTTGCTATTTACTCTTTTGCTTCAGAGATGTCAGTGAGGAATGTTGTACCCGAGCAGCTCATTGTGAAGAGCTTTGGACTTTAGACATTGCTTTGTTTGAGGGTTTTTTGTATGTAGGAAGCTCTGAAAAATTGGTGGATGAATAGTGAATCTTGAACAGAGGTAATAAACTTTGAATGTGATCCTGGTTTAAAAAAAAATCAAAACCAAAGCGCATCCCAGAAAAGACGTTCCATTGCAGCACTTAAGTGATGCTGGCGTCCATCATCATCACAACCATCTCTTTTTTGACTGCCTAAATTTGAGTCCTCCCTATGGATGTGGTTGACACAAATCAGATAGTGTTTTCAAAGAACATGTGCACTAATTACATCGAGGAAGCCCTTGGAAGCGCATAACCTATGGCTGTTTCAATTAGATTATATTTACACTTGTCAGCTTTTCTGCAATGGGAATTTAGAATGGATATTTATAAAAAGGGCTTCAGGTTTGTTTCAGTAACAAATTTATCTTTATTAAAAAAAAAAAAAAAGCTTCAGGAAAAGACAAGGATGTATTTTATACTGTGGAAAGGAAAAAAACCCACCAAAACCCAAAACCCACCCCAACCTCACCAGTATATATATCTAAATTTGCTTTATATTTTTAAACTATGAGGCTCATCCTTTCTTGTATGTAACTCCTTGGTAGTGTTACTTTGAAGATTTTCAAAAGGATTAGCAGAGTTTGGTTTGGGGGGGTGTATTTTTTTTATTATTTTTTACACACACACACACCGGCACTGCTTTTAACTCTGTAGTTGCCCCACAGTTGTGTTTGTCTTTTAGCAAGTTATTGGGTAGTCATCCTAATGTGACACTGATTATTAATAAAGTGATTTTATGAGGTAGAACTTGCTGGCAGAATTTCCAGGTTTGAACTGAAATCTTAAAACTTTGACAAACCAGCTTGTAGATTACATTTATTACTTTGTGTTCTGATATTGGCATAGATACTGGATGTGCAGTATTTGAGACTAATCATCTAATTTTCCGTATTGTTGACCCTGGAATCCCAGGGAACATGTGATGTTAACCTCACATATATTTCCTGTGGCATCTTCTCACAACGTAGAATTCCCACTCATTCAAGAAATATATATTTGACTATTTAAGCTAGAAAATCAATGTATTGAGTGTGAAGAGTATCTTGTTGGGCTCCTGGTAACTAAACATATACATTACTTTGTCTGCTTTGAAATTATTGTGACAGTGCTGAAAAATACCTGCATAAAAAGACAGTTGCTTATACATTACTTTGTCTGCTTTGAAATTATTGTGACAGTGCTGAAAAATACCTGCATAAAAAGTGACAGTTGCTTGCCTGTTATTACTGCCACTTCATTGTAAAGGAAAATAAACGCAGCTTTTAAAACAGGTTCTTTAGCAGTGAAAACTTAAAAGGCATTTTTTTTTTTAAGTACAACAAAGTTACCAAAAAAAAAAAGTATTATAGCAGTTGGTCATATATGTACCTAAAATGTAGTTAATTATCCATCCTATGGGATGCAAGTCCTCCTGTGGGTAGAGAGATACAAGATCAAATGCATTACAAAGGAAAAAAAGACTTTCTAACAGCTTTCCAAAACTGGCAGTGAGGTGGAACTTCCTCATCATTTGCTTTTGCAGTAACAACCACTTAAACCTAGGGAACTGCAAAAT